TCCGACTTCATAACGTTGGAGATGGTTGATCTTGACGCTTGGAAATTGGTACTTCCCCAAGCAGGCCACTTGGGGGTTGATAAGACCTATCGGCGTCTCTACGAGGCATATTATTGGCCAAATATGTTTAGGGATGTCGTGGCCTTCGTCCGCCACTGCGACATTTGTCAACGCTGTAAGGTGGAAAACGCCTTGCCGCGGGGACATATGGGTAGGCGAGTAATCCAAGGTCCTTGGACGACCGTGGCTGCCGACATTGTTGGCTCGATTACTCCGAGCAGATCAGGCTTCTCCTATGTGCTCGTGTTGCAGGATCTCTTCACTAAGTGGATTGAGTTAATCCCCCTCCGGCGAGCCACAGGCAAAGCCATCAGGGAGCAGGTGGAAAACGTAATTATCTCACGCTGGGGAGCCCCACGCGTGTTTTTCACCGATAACGGAACCGAATTTGTTAATCGGGAGATCCAAGCTCTGGTAGAGCGTACTGGGATGATGCACGAGACTTCACCCCCTTATCATCCCCAGGCGAATCCAGTCGAGAGGGTCAATCGTGTATTAAAAATGATGTTACGCGCGTTCATGGACGGTGATCATCGAACGTGGGACGTCCAGTTACACGAATTCCGTTTTGCATACAATACAACGGAACATAGTTCCATCCAAACGACTCCAGCGTTTGCGAACTTCGGCAGGAACCCCCTGCCGGCCATATCCCTTCGCCGCGAGCTAGAAGGAGTTATCGAAATAATCCCTGGGAAACCCAGCGAGTGGGTTGACCGAATGAAGCGATTGGAGACGCTTCGTAAGGCTCTCACTCATGCCATGCGGGAATCGTCTGACAAACAGGCGCACCATTACAATCTCCGTCGGCGCGACGTTGAGTTCCAAGAGGGTGACTTGGTTTTACGGCGCACTCACCCATTATCCAATGCGGCGAAACATTTTTCAGCTGCGTTGGTCCCTCCATTCGAGGGTCCTTTCATAATTAATAGGAAGGTCTCCCGAGTTCGGTATGAACTTGTGGAATTTTCCGGGAAAACTCAGGGCGAGTCCGCCATACAGGACTTAAAGCCCTATCAACCTCCAGTACCGGCCCCGTAACCATTCGGTTACCGGCTTCCGTAATAGTCTTACGGCCCATAATCGCCCCGCTAAGCGGGAGTCGCCAATAATTTCCCCCTTTCTGGGTGGTTACCCGTCCGGACTAACTCTCCGGTTTTGCTTCTCTGTTACAGACCACCACTACAGACACACCAGCTCCACGCGCCGAGGACGCCG